AAGGGAGGAGACTTAATGGTACCAAAGGTTCAGATTCAAATGGTTGAAGGTAGGGGACAGAAACACTGCCTTCTTCCATAAAACTACCAGTGCCAGAAGAAGAAATAATGCGTTAACCCAGATTTCCGTAGGTCATTCCACCTTCTCCCTCCCTGAGCAAGTCAACAAACTTGTTATCTGATACTTCAAAAATCTGTTCTCTGCTTAGATCTAAGCCCTCCCTAGGAGATCTCTCCTTTTCCTCACTCTTCCCTTCAGATGTCCTTTGGTTGGAAAGACCTTTCTCGGAGGAAGAAATTCACAAGGCAGTCCTAGACCTAGGCAGAGACAAAGCCCCTGGCCTCGACGGCGCACCAAACTCCATTTTTCAGGATTTCGGGGACACTTTGGCACCTGATATTATGGCTTTCTTTAATGATTTTTCTTGAGAAGCCGGCTCAACTCTGCCATCAATTACACATTCATCACCTTAATTCCTAAGAAAGAAGGGGCGCAAAAAATGTGGGATTTTCTCCCTATCAGCCTCCTCAATTCCTCCTACAAGTGTCTTCAATCTGTCCTCGATTCCATCATCTCCCGTTCTCAGTCAGCTTTGTTGCTAATAGACAAAGTTTAGGTCCATGAAGCTATGCACTCTAGGTATTCCTCTGGGACCCAAGATTGAGTCATCAAATTAGACCGGGAAAAGGCTGATGATAGAGTAGATTGGGGTTTGTTAGTTGAGCTTAAGTCTCGCATGGGTTTTGGTGCAAGATGGAGATCTTGGATCAAAGTGTGCACTTCTAATCCTTATATCTTTATCCTCATCAACGGTTCCCCTGTAGATCTTTTCCCTGCTTCCAGAGGTCTCAGATAGGGTGACCCTCATTCCACTTTCCTTTTCACTATTTATGGTAAGTTCTTCTCTAAATCTCTCACTAGACTTTTCGATAGGGGTTTGTTGAGAGGTTTTGAAGCATCTTTTTTGGCCCGACAGTGTCTCATATTCTTTACGCAGGCGACACATTGATTTTCTGCGATGCTGATCTATCTCAACTTGATCCTTTGGTTATTCTTGAGATGTTTTGAACTTACTTCTGGGATGAGACTTAATCTGTCTAAAACTAATATGTTGGGGATCAGACTCTCTGAGGCTGAAACCTCGTCCCTTGCCTTTCACCTTGGTTGCGGCACGGACTCTCTTCCTTCGAATTATTTGGACCTCCCCCTTTGTATAGGCAAACCCAGAAAGCATTTATGGGACAATCTTTTAGAAAAGTTCTCTTGGAAATTTGATAATTGGAAAGGTAGATTTCTATCTTAAGGAAGCAGAATAACTCTCACAAACTCTACCTTGGCTAGCATCCCAATCTATTTATGTCCCTGTTTCAAATTCCCTCCATAATTCTCCGTCTTGAAAAACTAATGAGAAATGTCCTGTGGAGTGGGGCCTCTGAGGACCATAAGTTTCACCTAATTTCATGGAAGAAGTGCTGTACTCCTAAGAAATTCGGTGGTCTAGGTATCAAGAGTCTTAAAATCATGAATGCTACACTGCACTGCTTGGGAAATGGTGGAGGTTTTCCTCTCCCCACCTCTTTCTTTGGAAGGACATCATCTGGGCCTAATATGGGTTTGAGGAGAATGGCTGGCTGCCTAGAACCCCTATTTTTAGGGCTTCAGGGGCATGGAAATCCATAGCTTCCTCCAAAATTGCTTTTAAGGCCTCTTCCAGATTTGAATTAGGAGATGGCCAGAGAATCAGATTCTGGAAAGATCTTTGGGTAGGTTCTCTCCCTCTTGCCCTCCTCTTTCCCTCTCTTGTCCGTCTAGCAGTGGATCCAGATGCTTTGATTGCGCACTATGTGCAAAGCTCTAGCTCATCTCTTTCCTGGACCCCTATTTTTAGGAGGAACCTAAATGACTTCGAAATCCTTACCTCAATTCTCTCGTTCTCCTCTTATCCCCTGTTCTCTCCTTGCTAGATACTCAGGATTCCCTAGTCTGGGCCCCTTTTCCTTCGGGTTGCTTCTTGGTTGCATCCTTCTTCTCTAACCTCCTTTCGAATCTGTCCCCTGCCCCGACTCTCAATAAAGTTTGGTCCTTTACCACCCCTCACAAGGTTCAGGCCTGCTTGTGGATTCTGATCCAAGGCAGAGTTCTAACCCTTTACCAGCTGCAAAGAAGAGGCATTTTCATGCCAAATCGATGCACCCTTTGTCTTCAGGACGAGGAGTCTATTCTCTACCTTTTCATCCATTGTCTTTTCTCTTTCTCTGTTTGGTCTTATTTCCTAATATTATTTGGGATCCCATGGGTTACTCCAGGGTCTGTTATGGACCTCTTCCTGGCCAACTCGATCTCCCTCCTTCCCCAAAAATGGTAGAAAACTTTGGATTATAGCCATGGCTTCCTTTCTATGATCAATATGGCTTGAAAGAAATGCGAGAATCTTTAGAGGTCTTGCCAAACCATTACCATCCTTCTTGGACTTTATTATCTCCTTGGTTTCTCTTTGGGCCACTAGCATCCCTGTTTTTTCTCATGTTCTCATCTTCCATCTCTGAGATAGCTGGCATGAGCTCCTTTTCATGACCTCGCCTTCCCTTTCCCTTAGGAGCCAGTGGTATCCCCCTCCTCTGGGAGTGATTAAGCTCAACACTGATGGAGCTTGTTTTGGCAACCCGGGTCCTTCTGGGTACAGAGGATCCCTAGCAAACTGGAATGACATTTTTCTTCTTTTCTTGGGTCCCTTGGGTTTTTCTGACTTTTAACGCTGCATAAGCTTCTGCTCTATTGGAAGGCTACAAAGTTGGCCCTTGTCATTTCTCGGCACTAGTAATCGAATGCGACTCAAGCAATGTTATTTCTTAGGCTACCAAGAAAGGACAACCCCCTTGGAGATTGGCGGCCACTTTTGACCTCATCTCCCATTTGTGCAGCAACCTCCCATCTCCGACCGTCTCCCACATTCTTAGATGTGCTAATTCTGTAGCCGATGCTAGGGCTAAGGGAGGTGCTCGAGATTCTTTCCACACCCTGGAGTTCATGCCTCGCCCCCTTGCCTACGACGACATCTTCTCGGTGCCATAGTGGTTTCGGCTTTTCAGCCTCTACAAATTGTGAATGCTAAGCACTTTATCCAGGTACAATCTATATTCTTAAGCTCCCCCTCCCTTCCCCCCACCCCCCATATCTAGCCTCTCTCCCTCTCCATCTCTCTCTCCCCTACCCCCTTCTCTGTCTCCAGCTGACATATCACTGGGAAAAAAGCATAAAAAAAAGGAAGAAAGAAACAAAAGAGAAAAAAAAGGAAAAAAAGAGAAAAAAAAGAGAAAAAAAAGAAAGAAGTAGAAGCATCTACCCTGTCACACTCATCTTCTCCTCTCTGCCCCTAACCCCTTTTGCTCTCTTTCTCCTTCTTCCCCCCCACCTCCTCTCTCTTTCTCTCTTTGTCCCTTTCCCCCTTCACCCCATTCTCCCCTTCACCCCTCTTCCCCACTTCGTTTTCTTTTCCTCCCCCCACCCTTGCTTCGTCTCCCTCAATTCTCTTTTTCTTCGCTCTCGGCTTCTCTCTCTCTGATACTCTCTATTTGCCCTCATCCTTTCGCAAAAATATGATATGGAAAGAAGAAAGAAGGTAGAAAAATAAAGGAAGAAAGAAAGGAGAAAAGAAAAAGAAAACGAAGGAATATAGAAGAGAAAAAAAAGAGTGAGAAAATATTGGATAGAATAAGGTGTGCTTGATAACTGTGTTTTTTCTTGATTCCTTTCTCTCCTCTCTATCTCTGTAATTTGCTAGTCACCTATCATTCTCGGTCTTTCGTGCTCTATAAACCCTCTACCCTTCACCCTAATTCTACCTCTTGTTTCTCTTCGTTCTCCTCTCCTCTTTTCCCTTTCTTCTTTTTCTTTGTCAGCCCTATGATCTCTCTATTTCATAATTCTCTCGGCTGTGTTCTGGCCGGCGCCCCTTCTGCAAGTTTCAGATGGGCCGGCTATTACATAAAGATGGTGATGTTGCTGCCTCACATAAGAAGACTGTGTTGCGCTGAATCTGTAGCTCTGTTTTGTTGGTGCTGCTACCATCCCTCGCAAGATGTCCATGGCTTGCCTAAAAGTGGCTGTCTCTAGTAGAAGTCCGTCTTTTATCTCCCTCTCTACTTAACTCCTGGTTTTTGTTAGCATCTCTCTTCATCACCCCCACCTCTTCTCTCATCTTCTCTCTCTATTTTTTACTCTGAGCGCCCAATTTTGTGGGCTGCCTCTTCATTATTTATTTAACTGTAAAGTACTTGTTTTTATAAAGCTAACCGATTCTAAAAAAAACAAGAGCACATACTGTTAAAATAAGTTAAATATTTAATTATTGAAATATTTAGTAATTACTATCCTGAGATTAGAAGTATTTTTATTGTTTTCTTAAATGTTATTTGATTTCTTAAGAGCGATACTTTAACCATTGTCAGATGTAAATATAGTATTCTGGTTGATCTTCAGCAATAGTTTTATGAAAATGTAACGGAAATATTAGATTAAAAAAAAAATGTAACAGAAATATTGTATTCTCTTTTGAGGGCGATCAAATTATTTAAAGTATGGATATTTTATAGCCACATTTTGGAACAGAAAAAGAGAACTTTCATAAATTTTTATTAGAAAATGCTATAGCACTCGAACTGCTTATCAAGGATGTCACATATATGGGAAGCTTTGGTCAATGTAATGAAATTGAGGATATTTTAATGCTATGATTGCATTGGTGGGGAAGTAAAAAGATAACAGAAAACTAATGGAAAGCTACAAACATCAGAAACTTCTGTGGGAAAGCTTTACTCATGTGTCTTTCAGACCTTTGGTGTTTTTTTTGAGGAAAAATTCTTCTTAAAAACAATGATAATGCTTTCTTCTTGGGGAATAGTCAAAGTGTCATTGTGTAAGCATATGTACATTGGTAGGTGCCCTTTGTGGTAATTGTCAACTACTATGTTCTTCTTTAAGGGCTGATTTTTTTGTGACAGTTTGAACGGGGGAAAGCCTTGAGTAAAATTGCGGATGATGTCAAAAAGATATTGGAAGAAGAGTGTGATGAGGAAAGCTTAAAAGTGCTCCCGAAGGCCATTGACACAGTCAGGAAAATGGTAAGTAATCATCCATGTAATCAGATTTAGTTTTGTTTTTTTTCTCTCTTGAAATTCTTTCTTCTTTACGAACCTTTGGTGTATAAGAGCTGTTTAAATTGATCTTCAATTTCATCAAGTTGAATATGTTAAGAAAACTGTTATTCAAAAGAGAAAAAAATGTTAAGAAAACTCTTCAAAAACAATAAAAATGATAAAGAAAACTGTTACAGGGATGCCACTTCCCTGACTTTTGTAACTTGAATGGTTAGAAGTTAGTTGTGAATAAGCCAATCTAGTAGCTGTATGTTCTAGGCAATGTACTCAAGTGACTGAACTATAGTACCAATGTTGTGCCAATGACTATATGTTTACATGTTTTGGAACTTGTTCTTGTTGCTCTATAGTGAAGATTCCATTAAGTGATATGTTTATGAGATACACGGCAATGTTTATGCCTTGTATCTTGAGCAGTGCTTAAAAAATCAGCGATCCGGATCGGAATTGCCTGATTCGGACCGGGAATTGTTCTGGCAGTTATGGATCTCGTAATATATTAGGATCTGGTCGTCCCCCCCCAGAACTGGTTCGTTCAACCAGGTTCGTACTAGTTTGGGCGGTTCTGTCAAAGAACCGCTTCTTTTTTAATTTTTTTAAGTTTTTAATCATTGAACCGGCCGAGTTTGAGCTGCCAATCCCACTTGGCCTGATCACCAATTCCCAAATTCTTTCTGCCTCTTCAACTTTTTATTTTGAAATGTTTATGACCGGGCCCACACACTCATTGGTAGCCAGATGTGGGTGGGTTGTCCATGCTATGACCCATATTTATAGCACATGCATCTCCTAAAGCGTTTGAACATAGCTGATGTGGGACTAATTATAAGAGAGAAGTCCACACCATCCATGCAACTTCATTCTCTTTGGGTTCTCTCTCTCTCTCATTTTCTTCAATTTAAAGCTTTGCTCTTTTGGTTCTTTCTTTCTCCTGTGACTATATCTTTTCTATCTCTCTACCTCTTTCTCTCTCTTCTCCATTTAACGTGTATCCCATTCGTGGTTCTCGTAAAAAAAAAAAATTCAGCTTTTGAGGTGTTTCTCTTAAAAGTCCTAAATTAAATACGAATAAGAATAATATATTAATAAATGGGTTATGTTAGGGTGTTCACACTATAGAGTAATTTATCATTGTACTCAATAAATTTTGGACACTTACATACCCTTGTTTTGTACATGAAGCATTTTTTTTAGTAAGGGTATTTTTGGTCATTAGGAGGGGTGTGACATCATCCACATGGGGTATGAAATCACCCACATGGAGCACACTAGGGGCATTTAATGCTCCTTGTGGGTGATGTCACACCCCATGTAGATGATGTCTTATCCTTTTAATGGCAAAAAATAACCTTATTAAAAAATAGCTCTATGTATAAAACAAAGGGTATATAAGTGTCCAAATGTTGTTGAGTACAATGATAAATTATTCTATAGTGTGAGCACCCTAACATAACCCTTAATAAATATACGAATAGAAATAATTAATTTAATCAATTAATTTTGAGGAGAAGGGGAAAAAGAAGAAATTAGTAGGCAAGATTCCCTATCTTTACAAGCACAAGAGGGATTTGAGATTATAAAAATAGTGTTAATGTTTAAATAAAAATGATTGAGTTAAAAAGATCTATTTATTGCAATGAGTTGCATTTTAAATTTTGTTTTGATTATCACATGAGTATAATGGTGAGCAAAAACTTAGACATGAAACTCGTTCTCAGTATTTATGTATTTGAGTGAAAATCCATAATTCAATTACCCAATTTTTTTGGGAAACCTAAGAAACAAATTTTAAAGAAATTTTAGTATGTTTTTGAAATTTTTTTGTCTGAAACCTACCTATTCACCGATCCGGATCACCGATGCACCTACCCAACCCGGTTTTTGGGGTGGCCAATCCGGGTCACCAATCCGTTTTTTAAAACCTTGATCTTGAGCATAAAGACAGACATGGGTATGGATGTGAGATATGACAGCCATATTATGCTTACGTATATTTCCTTGCGTGTGTGTGCATTTGTTTTCTTGGGCTTTTGTGCATGTAGCTGTGAAATTGAATCCTTTAAGGATATAAATCAAAGAACTCAAGAATCAAACGATCAAAATGAACCCTCTTTATTCACCCAAAAAAAAATTGCACCTTATTTGGGTTTTTATTCATATCAACCGGGTACTCCAGATCACTTGAAAATGCTGTGTTGATTATATGTTTACAATTGATCTGAGCCGGAAGGTTTCTTATTCTCTGAATACATGGAAAATACGTAAGTTCCCATGAACGAAATAAAGGTTGACATAGTCATCCCTAATTAGAAAAGAAGAGAGGGGCGTGTGGGCCCATGGAAGCCTTGTGCACTCCATGTCCCACACCTAGATGGGGCTCCCACATGTGGACCCATGGAAGCCTTGTGCACTCCATGTCCCACACCTAGATGGGGCTCTCGCATGTGGACCCTTGCGCATTAGGTGCCATGTGGGTCCTAGAATTTTCTAGTGCCCAAACCATTTTATGATGGCCTCTTAAGTATTTTTAGAAATTGGTTTGAATTTTTAATACCTTAAAATCACTTAATTTGGAATTAAAATTCGAATGGCAAAAATATATGTAATCAATTGTAAAATTCAATTTTGTGATAAACAAACACTTATAGACGAGGATTTGATCCAACAGATCAGGAACATACATTTTGCTAAGGTAATCCACCTTTGCTTAAAACCCGCGACCTAGACTATCTTCTCAAACCAACCCAATGGGTCCCATTACCTATAGTTAAACACAGGGGTTCATGATTAGCCCATCAAAGTTGGTTAATGAACGGTGGGACACGAATCTAATGTGGATTTCAGGTTCCTCTCTAAGGACAAGTCATATTCATAAGGATGAATCCACAGTACAGTAATTGCGTAAGGCGTCCTCTCTTCAGCACATGCACATGAACCCCAAAGGGTCTGCTTCCCAAAATGAGGCTATCATGTGTACATGCCATGCGGTGGAGGTTGAGGATTTGGCCCTTTCCTTTGCAAGCTTCCTATGGCATACAAGAGAACAAATGCCTCCTGGCTCAAACACATCACTGGTTATCTCTCTAACCTTAATGAGGGAAAAGCCTATGATAAAACCCTCTCCAGTTGTGCCTCATGGCCACGGTTAAGGGTTTTAGACCCAATACCAGTCCTAGACCACTCAACCCGAGTGAGTCAACCGACAAAAAAAAAATGCCATACTGGTCCTACATGGACCACACTCCCACCGGAGTACTTTTTGCATGCTCTCAAGGCCTTTAAAGGCCACAATCCCCTACATCTCCCATTTAGCCTTTGGGGGCCTTACAGTATTTCCCTCACAATCTCTCACCCCTAATTACAACCTCTCTCAAGCCCCATGTCACAAATTCGCTCAAGCCCAATACAATGAACGTATTCGATGAAGCAGATTCGTCATCAATCCTTTCCATCATAAAAGGATCCATAAACATGACCTCTATGGGAGATTTAAGACCTTGATCTCTTTATGCTCGGATCTTGTGACAAATGTGGTGGTAGCCCATCTTGATGTGCCTGGGCTTCTTAACAAAACCATAGCTTCTTGGCCATACAAAATGCGGACTGGTCATCACAGAAGTCCCTCACGCACAAAAGCTTCTTGTGCTGCCAAGCAACAAGCTACATATTTGTATGTTATGGTGGACAGTGCAACTCTTCATCAGTTTCTTTGAGCACCATGACACAGCTGCCCCACCAAGCATAAACTGATGGAATCATTTGGATTTGGGTCCCCTTGGCAGTTCGCAAAGTAATACCTTTTTTTTATAAAGATCTGGGCCACCAAAACATAACTGTGGGATATGCGAGCACTCCCACTCAAACAAATTCATGCAATTGTAACATCGACAACACAAAACACAAAACATGCTCTCACTTAATTGCTTCATGGCCATGCCACATGCTTGCTCAGCAAGCCTCGCACGAAGAAATGCTCTTGCCCCGGTTTGCAATCACAAACCTTTTCTCTAACTTTGAAGGTTCAACCACACTTGCCTTTTGGTTGAATTTCACTACAAACGAAGTGATCTTTATCTACTCAACATATGTCATGGAAACCAAATAGATTGGTCACCCTAGACATAGCATAAGGTTGGTGGTCTAGTAGTTGAGATCCTCAATAACATTTTCCTCTAAAAGATAAATGGGTTGCTGGTTAACTTCAAAAACACTAGTGATGATATACACATGCCTAGCATCGTCAATGCCCCAAGAAAATTCCTTGACTTAATGTTTTCCCCTTTTTAGAAAAAGTGTTATGACTTGGTATAATTTTGAAAAAACATGAGTGAAGACTTATAGGTTTAAAGTTTTCACAAAATAAGTCAAGCTTGCAAGACTATTGGATCTGTCAAAAAAGAGAAAAAAAAAGAAATTTACTAATTTATCCATCTAGTCTCTACAACTTCTGTGGTTCTCAATTCATCCCATTCAATTTTTCTTTTAATTTTTTTTTAAGAGGTTATATTTTTATTTCCCATACAAAAGCCATTAAGTCCCTAATATTAAATATGGGTCGTTAAGCCCATCCATAAATTTGCTTAAAAACAAGCGGGACCCAAAAGAATGCTGAATGGCTTCTAAAAACTGACACAACTTACTAAACTGGGCAACTTGGAGGGGCCAAGATGGAATTCTTATCTTACCATATCTCTTTTTAGAATCATAAACATCATCGGGTGAACAATCAACCAAAAAAACAAGAACTTCATCGAGGCTTCACAAAAAAAAAATTGTACATCACTTCTATGTGCTAAACATCTGGATGAGCCTTTCCCCTTCTTTGGTGTTTGCGAGTGGGGCAATGTAATAGACCTAGAGTCTTTACATAACTATGGGTATGCAAATTGGCTCCTTCAAGTTTGCATCACCTATCAACTATATCCTTGCTCTCCATATTAACATTCTCAAATAATAGCTAAGAT